GTAACAGACCCTCACCAGTACTCCCCACCTCTGTCTGCAGGCACTGAGTGTCAGCATTGGGGTTCCCAGAGGGCCCACTGTGCTATATAGAGCTCTCACAGCGACATCTTGTTGTGGGGTCCCCTCTCAGTGGACCCTGCCTTGCTCAGTGGAGCCCCCCACCACGTTCTGCAGCCCCTCTCCACCCTGGCCTGTCCCTGCTCCTCCTGGGTGCAGGGTAAACGTTTCTGCTTACAGCCCTTATTGACCACTCCCCCACTGCCACCCTGGTTGCTCGGAACCCACCCCCAAGCTCCACATGCCACCCTCCACTTCTCAGCTGGCAGCACGCCAAGGCAGCCCACTCCCAAACCTGGAAAATAAAAACAACACCAATCATCTATTTGCCTCCGCCAGGCCCACTGGGAGTCACCCTATCCCCCACTCTCACCCCTCCCATTGCTGGTGCCCCAGCCCCACCCCCACACGCCACCGTCTTTTCAGCTAATTGTTTGCAGGTGACTCAGAGCTGCCTTTCGGCTGGCTGGTGCTCATTTAGGGAAGGGAAATTCAGTGGCCCACATAAAAATTGCTTTATTAAAGTGCAAAAATATTCTACCAACTGTATTCCCACCATCTGTTTTGTTTGTAATTCTGAAAAGTGCAATTCTCTCTGCCTCCTTGGCCTCTGTCCTTTAAAAGCTGCCAGAGGTGACTCACTGCTGCTCATGACCTCGTGTCATGAGCTGCTGGTTAATGAGGGGTGCTCCTCTGCTCAGCCCTCCCCTACACACAGGCCTGGCAGGCTGGCCAGCTTCGAAGCTGCTGGTGTGCAGTATCTGGGAGCCTGTCCCCCTCAGTCATGCAGCCCAAGAAAGACAAGATGTTATGCAGACCACCTGGGCAGAGGGATGAGCTGCGCCTAAGGACAGGAGACTGGATGCCAGTCCTAGCTCAGACACCTGGAAGGCACTTCACCTTGTCAAGCCTCAATGTTGACATCTGGAGAATGGGGATAAAACACCCACCTCTTAGGCGTGAAGGCTCTGAAGTCCCTCCCCACTCTCCTCTGATACACATTCTCACACTCTTTCCCGCTGGGAACTTCTCCCCGATCTTCAGATGCAACTTGCCCTTCCATGCTGCTGTACCTTTGCCCACACTGTATCCTCTCCCTGGAATGCTGCTTCTTTCCCTTCTCTGCCTCACAAAGTCTTACTCCTCCTGCAGTACCTAAATGAAATGACCCACATCTCTCACCACATGGTAGCAGTGCTGTTGTGGTACTTTCCCAGCTTATAGTAAGATCGCTTGTATTCACTGTTCCCATGGGAATCATCAGAATGGGGCCTGGGTCTGTCTTATTCACTGCTGAATCCCAAATCCCTGTGCAAAGCCTGGCATACGGTGGCTGCTCGGTGTGGGATAGGGTGGGCAGGGTAACAGGAGCACAGCAGATACAGGCTCTGGGATGTCTCAGTCTTAGCTGGGCGATTCACTGCACCTCTCCATGGCTCTGCCTTCTCATCTCTAAGGTGAAAACGATAACTTTGGCACCTTCCTTGTGGAAAAGTTTCAATGCATTAACATCGTAAAACACTTGGTACAGCTTGGGGCATGTTGTCAGTGTTCACTGTTATTACCAGCACCTGAAAGCCCTTTGGGAACTGCAGGGAGACCCCATGTCTGAGAGCTGATGGTGCTGGGGAGGCTGAGGTGAGTGGTGAACTCCTGCTCCAGGGTAGAAAGGCTGCGCTTCCTGGGAGTGGTAAGGCTGCCAGCCAGCACCCCCATCTTACAGATGAAGCAACTGAGGCCCAGAGAGGATGCCGAAGGCAGCAAAAAACAGCAGCAGAGGAGGGAGTCCTGCTGGTTGTGCTTTCTGAGGCCTGCTTATCTCATAGCCCCAGGCACCCTGTACCACGTCTGGGTCTGGAGGAAGCTGAGGAAGCAGGACTCAAAACTATGTGGGGCCAGGCACGGTGGCTCATGCCTATAATCCCAGCACTTTGGGAGGCCAGGTAGGGTGGATCACCTGGTCAGGAGTTTGAGACCAGCCTAATGAACATGGAGAAACCCCATCTTTACTAAAAATACAAAATACAGGTGCATGCTGTAATCAGGAGGCTGAGGCAGGAGAATCGCTTGAACCCGGGGGGGCAGAGGTTGCGGTGAGCCAAGATCGCACCGTTGCACTCCAGCCTGGGCAAAAAGAGCAAAACTCCGTCTCAAAAAAAAAAAAAAAGACTACCACATGCAAATCTGTGATTGTCTATGAATATACAGTGACTCTTTTGAGTCCTTTGTGGCCCTTCAGTCAGGCTGGAAAACATATTCCTGTAGCTGCTTCTGCAGGCTTAGGTAAGAAACATTTGCTGTTGTCTCCTTTTAATGGCGAATGTTTACCTTTTACATGTGCCACTTAATTTGGGCACTGTGCACCCTGGAAATGCCAAATCTCTTGTGCCTCAAATTTTTTTTCTATTTCAAATTAGAAAAAAACTCTGACCAGGTGTGGTGGGTTATGCCTGTAATCCCAACACTTTAGGAGGCTGAGGCGGGTGAAGGCAGGAGTTTGAGTCCAGCCTGGCCAACATGGTGAAACCCCGTCTCGACTAAAAATACAAAGATTAGCCAAGTGTGGTGGTGCATGCCTGTCATCCCAGCTTCTCAGGAGGCTGAGGTAGGAGAATCGTTCAAAGCCAGGACGCGGAGGTTGCAATGAGCCAAGATCCCTCCACTGCACTCCAACCTGGATGACAGAGCAAGACTCCATCTCAAAAAAAAAAAAAAATCTGTAGTTGGCACTCCCCAGTCCCATTTTCACCCCCATTCTGCAGAAGGAATTCGTATAGATTGAGGGATTGATAAGAAATAGTTTCTTGCTTGATAAAGCAAAACCCAGAACAGTAAGTTTGGGCCTGGAAGGAGGGGGTCTCCCTCTGGGAAGAGAAACTGACCTTTGAGGACAAGCCTCTGCCTCCGAGCCTCTCCTGTTGCTGCTGCCTGCCATGCCCGTGAAGGCAGGAGCTGCTTCTCCATGGACTCTTCCGAGTGTAGCCTCTGGTCCTGGCCCACATAGACTCACAGCATGGCAGCAGTAAGGCTGGGACATTCCAGTGAGACTCCCCTGGAAGCCAGGGTGGAAGAACAAAAGGAGACCAAATACGGGAAGGATCTAGAAGCTGGGGTTGTGGCTCACCAGGCGTAACTCCCTCTGGAACCCCTCTCATTGCAGATCCTCCCACCAGCACCCCGGCTCCCTTCCCCCATGCCCACACAATGGTTTCTACTCGTAGTCTACACAGAGATTCTCCTCCAAGTTTGCATGTTGCCTCCAAAACCCCTTTGCTAAAATATGGGAACCCCTTTTATACATCAAGATATTTTGCCCACTACCCTCCACTCCCATGGTAGCCATCATCATAATATTCATTGGTGGATAGTAATGGCCAAAAGCGAATATACATTCAATTGCAATTTTAATTTGTTTTCTAACAGTATCTACATATGTTAGGGAAAATAATAGTGCATATATGTGGGTGATGGATTATTTAGCCCGGGAATGGTGGTTGGGGGAGTGTGTTGATTTCGAGGCCCCCTGCAGGACCCCATGTCCCCACATCTGCTCAGCCCTGGTGGGTGATAGAGTGAGCTGTGTCTTCCCCCGTCTGTGCCGGGCCCGACCCTCCTTCCCAGGTGCTGACCTGAGAGCAGCCTCTCCCTGAGGGTGAGGCCCAGCCCCCACCTCCTCCTCACTCTGATCCATCACCATTAGCCTGACCTTGACACAGTGACGGCCTGTTTCCTTACATAGGGAGCTGGGGCCAGCTTTGATGGTGCCTAAACATCTGACAAATCTTTCCAGCCTGCTTTCCATCAATTATATAGCACGTTGCTTTAGGGAATGTGTGCGAATGGATTCACTGTGAATGTCTCTGAGCTTCCCGTCATCTTCCGTAAGCATCTTAGATTTGTAGAATGGGCTTTCTCCCCTGTCCTCCACCTGCCAGCTCTTTATCACTCCATCTTTTCTAAGGTTTGGTTTTTTTGTTGCTTTTTTTTTTCACCCCTAGAAACAGAGTCTCAATATGTTGCCCAGGCTGGCATTGAAGTCCTGGGCTCAAGCGATCCTTCTGCCTTAACTTCCTAAGTAGCTGGGATTCCAGGCATGAGCCCACCATGCCCAGCTCTTTTTCCAAGTTTTTATGTAGGGCTCAGTTCAAATGCCCCCTTCCTAAGAGGCAGTTCCTGACCACTGACTAGAGAAGGCCCTGGCAACCCCAGCTCCTCCTTACCTCCTGGCCCTACTTTGGTCAATATCTGACATGATTTATTTGTTCGTCTGTTTGCTTGTCTTTGGAGTTAGGGGTTCCTTGAGAACAGGGGTATCCCCAGTGACTAGAGCGAGCCTGGACCCTGGAGAGCTCAGTAAATAGAAATGCAAGAAGCATTCCCAGGATGACAAAGCCAGTTAGCTGCAAAGCTGGATTTGTCCCCAGCTCTCCCATCCACTCCCCGGCATGCTTTTTCCAACATACCCGGTGAGATTTGAACCCCAGACTCCAAAGACAACTTGCTTATCACAGGCCTTACTGTATCCTCCAATCCAGCCTTCCAATGCTTGGCCTGTCTGTTAGAACGTAAGTTTGAGAGCTGCTCTATCCAACATGGCAGCCACCAGCCATGTGTAGCTTTTAAATGTAAATTAGTCAGAGTTAACTAAAATTGAAAATTCACCTCCTCAACCACACGAGTCCCACTTTAAGGGCTCAACAGGCCAGTGGCTACTGTACTGGACAGCACAAATGCAGAACATTTCCATCCTTGCAGACAGGTCTGTGGGACAGCCTTGCTCCAAAAAGGAGAGACCTCAAATCTGTCTCATTCACCATTTCCCTAGCACTTAGAACAGTGCCAATTCATGCCTTATTCAATGGATGAATTTGTTGATGCTGATACTTCTGCTGAGAGCCTCCTGCTCTCCTCTGCTGCTGACGCTCTCTCCTTCTGTCCCTCAGGGAAAGATGAAGCCAGCAGTGTGGAGGTGACGTGGCCAGATGGCAAGATGGTGAGCCGGAACGTGGCCAGCGGGGAGATGAACTCGGTGCTGGAGATCCCCTACCCCCGGGATGAGGACACACTTCAGGACCCAGCCCCCCTGGAGGTGGGCAAAGGCATCTGGGCCTCATAACCAGAAAAGCGGGCACCACCCACAACCCCACGGGCTGAAGCTGGGTTCCCAGGAATCTGTAAACTCAGCCTCTAGAGTGATGGAAATCTTGGCAAAGCAAAGGCTTCATGCTGATCCTTCCATTTGTAGTTTGCACAACACCATCACACCCACGTCTCTTCTGCTTCTCACAGAAGCCCTGGTGTATTGGCAGGGCAAGCATTTTTGCACCCCTTTTTCAGAGGAAGAAAACCGAGGTTAAGAGAGGAAACCCACCAAGGCCCACCAAGGCTGCACAGCCAGTTGTAAGCAGAGTTAAGAGATGACCCCAGGTCTCCTGCTTCCCTCCTGGTTCTTTCAAGTCTCTGACAAGACCTCTTGTCGCCCTAGGGTGGGACTCAGAGCCTACAGCAGGGCCCCTCTAGGGGCTCTTTGAGGAGCAGTCAGTCCTGGACCCACCTTGGCAGTGTCCTTCCAACTCTGATGGGGTTCACTTGGTGGCAAGTAACAGGAACCCACCCAAAATCACACAAATGAAGGGGACTTATAAGAAGGGTTACTTGCAAAACTCAGGAGAGCTCAGGATGAGTAGGAACTGTGGCAGCTTGATGGCCTTAGCCCTAGAAGCTCAAGGACCTTTGTCAGTACACTGGCTTTGGGAGGAGAGGGGGCTTCTCTTCCCCACAATCCCCATCCACCCACCTCATTCGTCGGTATGGTGGATTGACATTTTGTGTCGTGTGTTACATTTTGAGTCCCCTGCCCCACCCCAGGCTGCTGTCTCTGAGACCCCCATATGGGCATGGCAGAGCCCCCACAGTCTGGCAGGACCAGCTCCCAACTCTCGAGTCTCTGAGTCAATTTGTTCAAATTCTTGCTGCAAAGCCTTGAGTCTTCTCTCCTGCTGGGATTTCCCCCCATCGGCCCTGGCCAGAGAGGTGGGACACAAGCATGGCTGCGGGTGCTCACTCGTGTGAGGGGGAGGTTCTCGGAAAAGGGGGTGTGGGCAGTGAGCAGATGCCTCAAAAAGCATCTCCCAGCCCTCATTACACTTTGACCTGACAGACCCAGCCTCAGTCTCAGGGCAGTGCTACAAGAGGGACAGGTTCTGTTGGGCATCCCAGCTCTGGCACGTGGATCCCCTGCGCGGGGAAATGAGCAAGAGTCTGAACTGTATCCATTCATGGCCTTCCCCCGGGGCTCTTATTCTCAGCGAAAAGGAAGGGTTCTACAAGGGAGGGGGATCTCCCCAGGCCCAGAGCTCAGAGAGTGGCGCCTCACACTGTGGTTAGGGTGATAGCTGCTCTGTGGCCATGACTAGGAAGGGAACCTGGGATGGGATCTTCTCAACTCACTCATGTCTCTGCTTCTGCCCACCTTGCAGTGCGGTCAAGGATTCTCCCAGCAGGAAAATGGCCATTGCATGGGTGAGTTGGCTGCAGGCACCAGGGTGTGGGGCAGAGGCTGGAATCTCCCTGGGGAATGCCCGCCTGACCCATGGCAAGGTCCATTGTGCAAGAAAGGGGTGGAAAGGCAGACAGAAGAGGGCGTTGTTTGTCCTGGGACTCCAGATGCCAAGACAACCGCCACATGACTCACCAGGGTGAGAGTTTTGTCAGTGACCCACAGGCTGAATCACTGTGGTTCTGGGAACTGGCAGTGCTTTCCTGCCATGAGTACCGAGAAAGTGCACATGGGAAGGAGACATGCCACCACCCTGGCACAGGGGAATAGCCACACACCATGGCCAGCCAGTGGAGCAGGAAGCAAGGGGGCTGGCAGACAAGGGTGGGCATTGCCAAGGGCATTGGGGCAAAATAGTGTGTGGAGTGTGGTCACAGTGTGGAAGAAAGACTGCAGCCTGGTGCAGTTCTGGGGCAGGCAGGCAGCTGCAGCACTACCAGGATGGCAGCTCCTTGAGGGTCCAAGAACCTTCTGAAAGTCTCCAAGGGCCTGGAATGGGAAGGGGCAGCCTAGAAGCTTAGTGTCCAGGAGACCTTCACCCCAACACTTGCCATCCCAGTGTCCAGCAACGAGGAGTCAGGCCAAGGATCTCTCCTTCCTTGAACACTCATCCAGCATTCTTCCCAAGCCTACTCTGCAGCCGCTCATTAGCTCTTTGCTACTGAGATACAGGAGTAAACAAGACAGATACCACTCTCAGGAGCTGAAAACCAATGGAGAGCCACACAAGTAGACAGCTGACAACCACAAAGTGTGATCACAGCCCAGACAGGGGAGGACAGGGGCTTGGAGCCTACAAAGCAGTGGTCCTAAACCAGTCTAGGGAGGATCCTAGAGGGTGCCCTAGAGAAAGTGAGGTCTAAGCTGGGCCCTGAGGGATGAGGAGGAGTTCGGCAGGCACAGAGAGGAGAGGCAGGGTTCTAGTGAAGGGCACTGTTTGGACAAAGGAGCACAGGTGGGAGGTGCACTAGCAGTGCTGTCAAGGGTGGCTGGAGGAGGAAATGACTCCCCTGCATTCTCCACCTCCCCACCCGGCCCCATTCCAAACACACAGTGCAGGTGCACAGAAATTCCAGAGTCTTCTCTCCCTACTGCAAGGACCCTTTGAGGTCACCAGTTCAGCCTCCTCTTCCTTTTCATCACCCAACAGGCAGTAATGTGCCTTGTATACAGCAGGTGCCATGGTGGGAGTGGGGAATATAGTCCAAGTTCCACCTTCCCCAGAGGGGCATCTGTTTAGTGCAGGGAGACAGATCTTGAGCGCATGACCACACAGCTGGACAAGATGATTTCAGAACCCTCTAAGCAAGGTGCTCCCTGGAGACTGTTCCAGACACAGTGGTCAGGGACGGCCTCAGGAGGAAGACTTTGAGCTGAGACCTAAAGGATGGGAAGGATCCAGGCCCAGAAAGAGCTGAGGGAAGGGAAGGAGCAAAAAGCAGGAGGCAGCACAAAGGCTTCATGTGTCGAAGAAGCAGGAGGGAGGCCAGCATGGTCTGGAGATGATGGCGAGTCTGTGAGGCTCCCATAGGAAGTCTTGATTTTGCTATTAGGAGCCTTAGAAGCTAAATGGAGAGTGTGATTCACATTTTTAAAGGCTCACTTTAGTTGCTGAATTGCAGAGTGGATTGGAGGGAAGTGGGAAAGGCAGGTATTCTGTGAGGAGTCAGCTGCAGAAATCCAGGCAAGAGATCACAATGGTTGGAAATTGGGTGCTGGCAGAGGAGGGAGAAAGAGGTGACAGAGAGAGGTGGACTGGGGCAGAGTGGACAGGTTCTGCTGTGAAACTGCACAGGGGGTAAGAAAGACGGAGGAATCGGGGGTCGCTCTGATTACTCCTTGAGCAGCTGATAGATGAAGGGGATATCGATTGAGCTAGAGAAGACAGAACAGAGGGCAAGAGAGGTTTAAGGGCAGGGCAGAATCTGGAGTTCTATTTCGGACATATTAAGCATGAGGTGCATCTCAGACATCCAAGTGGAGCTGTCAAGTAGGTCATGGGTCATTGTACTCACGAGTCTGCAGCCACGGAGAAAGGTTGTGACTAGAGATAGAACTTTTGGAATCATCCATGTGTGAAGACATCACCCAGAACAATTGTGGTAGATAGAAGAGAGGACCCAGGGCCACGCCTGAGTGCCCCTCAGCATGTAAAGACCAAGTACACCAGGAGCCAGCCAAGGGAACTGAAGCCCAGAGAGGAAGGCACATTCCCAAGGCCAGACCATATATGGGGCAGGCAGAGCCTGGGCCAGGACTTGCTGCCCCACACCTTCATGGTGAGTGATTCCCCTCACCTTGCAGACACCAATGAATGCATCCAGTTTCCATTTGTGTGCCCTCGAGACAAGCCCGTATGTGTCAACACCTATGGAAGCTACAGGTGCCGGACCAACAAGAGGTGCAGTCGGGGCTATGAGCCCAACGAGGATGGCACGGCCTGTGTGGGTGAGTGGGACCCCCGCCAGAGTCCAGTAGTAAAGGGAAGTTGCCTTCCATTGGCGAGCTCTGAGCAGGCCCCAGATCAAGGTCCCTAGCCCCTTCCTTCTTTTGGCTGGATAGTGTCTCCTTTGACCCACACTGGGTCTCCAGGGAAGACCATGACAGAGGCTTGGAGAAGCCCCATCACTTCTACCATCACCTGAAGGGCCGGGGGATGCTGTGTCCTGAGGCTATCACTCTTCTTACCTTTCCTAAAACAAGTGTTCGTGCCTTGAAGTCAGCCCATATTTTCATAGCTGGGATGTAAACTAACTCCTACTACTCATCTTTGGCTGAATTTCTAAACTGGTAATTTCTTCTTCCCAAACTCCTTCCTCTACCTCCACCCTGTCCCCACCCCCTTTCTCTTTTTCCCATTTTCTATCTCCCTGCCCCATCCTTTTTGCAGCTCAAGTGGCCTTTTTAGGTGGGTATTCTTCCGCCGCCTTTAGAATCTATGAGCCTCTCTCTCGGGCCTCATATCTTTCTCTAGGCCTTGGACTTTGCCTTCAGTTATATGCACTTTAAATCCCATCAATAAAGGAAAAAAAGAAAACTAAACTAACAGCCTTTGTGGAAAACTAAATCTCTCTCCTGCTGCCTGTCTCTCTCTCCACGCCCAGTAGATTCTGCTGCGTGCTCCCTCTGAATGGACAGCAGGGGTGCCCATCTTTGAAAAGGGAAAGTTGGGAGATACTGACGCAACCTTAGTTGTTTATGAAGCCTTTCTTTGCATGTTTTCTGAGAAAACAGAAAAGGAAAGTCTCCCCAACACCCCATCCAGCCTCCCTCACTCCTTCAGAAGAATCAAGATAGTCTTGTATCCTCCAGTGTCTCGTGAGGTCCTTATTTTGCCCTTAACAAGGATGGCTCCAGGTGGTTGCTTGCTGGTTGATCCAATGATGTACCATGTGCCTGCTGGTTTGGCCTATGCTGTTTCTGCTTTTTGCCCCAGTCTTCCTGTGCTGGAGAAAGCCTTATTGGTGTTGGTGGTGGTGATGGGTGGGAAAAGGGTGGTCCTTTGGGACTCTTGATAAAAATGTTATCATTTGAACTTGCTAAACCTTCCAGCCTCTTTTCTGGAGAAAGTTTATGCCAATAAACTGCTAGATATTAGTGCCAAGCTGGTGGTGAAAAAAGGGGTTTGGGGCAAGTAGAACTGATTGGAATGCTAAATTAGCAGCAGGCCTTGCATCATGGGATGCTTCGACAGCCGATCATCACACAAGCAGGAATCACACCAGGCACCAGCAGGGGTTTGGTTGTGTACAACAGTGTTCACATTTCAGGGACCAGGGTTTGGGCCAAGTGAAGGATGTGTGATGAGTGAGGGGCAGAAATGGAGTGTGCACTCTGGGCCTTTTACCTGCAGGAAGTCACTTCTCCATGCTGGGCCTCAGTTTCCTTAATGTAGATGACAAGAGAGTTGGGCTGGTGTATCCCTAAGGGGCCTTTCCTTTCCAAGACTCCTCACTGTCTGGCTGGACATAGGCATGGCTCATCTCAAGTTACTCTGATTTCTAGAAAGAACCTTGCTACTTGGTCTCTGCAATCTGCTTAGAAAATGGAGTGTTCCTGTAGCCAGAACACCCTTTGGGGATGATGTAACGCCGTAGAATATGCTCACAGCCAGCCTCAGTAGTGAGGGCTTGTTATAAAACATAGATCTATTCTTCATGGGGAGAAGAGTCATCCCAGAATATAATAAAATCACACTTAAGAATGCAGCAACCCTTTTAAAAACATATTTAACAAAAAAAAGGCCTACCATTTTCTGATCTCATAGTAACACTCCTAATAAATCACAAAATATGAATTCCTTGTAGCTAATGCTGTTTTTACACTCAGAACAGGAGCGTAAATGAAAAGTTTTTAAATGAAAACAGCTACAATTTCCCTGAAAAGCATACACCAACTTAAAAATCATTCCACTTCTAGAAAGCCCATTCCTGTGTATTGACATAGAATTAAAGATCTGAAAGGGCTCCCGAGATGAGGCTCAGCGAACTGAAGTGTTCAAGGTCACAGAGCCCACTGTCCCCCAGCCAGGGCTGGGGCCCTTTCCCACCACACCATCTTGTCAGAGGGTTAACAGGCAGCTCTGTCACTGTTCGGACTATTCCCTGGTCCTTCTGGAAGCTGCTGCCTTTTTAAAAATGAACAAGTGGAGAATCTAACATGGTGAGATAAGTAAAACCCAAAACCCACGGAGGGATGGTTCCGAATGCAGTGGTCAATGACAAGATAACAGTGCCCATCGACTGGCCATACACAACAGCACAAGAAGTAAGGGACAGAAGAACTACAGAGACAGCCTGCCAAGCACATTAGGGGGTTCAGGGCGACAGTAGACTTCAGATGATGCCTTATAAGTGATAACCAATAAATGCCTGCACATTGAGTTTTATATACCAGGGTATATATGTGTCATGTGACCCTGTTGGGCGGGTGGGGTCTGGTGAGTTACAAAGAGGCGTTCTAAGTTCCCACAGCTGATAAGAGCACCACTACAGCACTCAGACTCCAGGATAAGGCTTCCATTTGATTCATTCATTAGTTCAACAAATAATGATTGAGCACCTATAATGTGCCAAATAATCAGCTAGGCTCTAAGCATACAATGGCAAGCGAAAGTAATATTTGTTGAGCCCCTACTATGTGCCTGATACTGAGAGGCTCTAGGCATACAATGGTAAGTGACAGTAATATTGGTTGAGCTCCTCTTATGTGCCAGGTACTGAGCCAGGCTCTAGGTATATAATGGTAAGTGAAGGTGACATGGTTGCTGCCCCTATGCTGCCTTACCTCCAGCCAGGTAGAGGAGTCAAGTGCATGGGATGGAAGTGGTACACCAAGGAGCTTTCTAAAAAGCCAAGCTGAATTCTCAGGTTGCTATACCAAAAAGCAAGCTCTCTGCATCCATTCATTTACATATTCATTCAGCAAACATTTATTGAGAATATCCTGTATGACAAGCACTAGGTTCCTCTCACAAGGAATGTGATAAGGATCCTCTGTTGATGTGGACAAGTCCCCTGCCCCCAAGATGCTTGTGTTGAAAGAAATACAAAGCTGAAAGATACAGAGGATAGGTGGAAATCGAACCCTCTCAACATTAGTTACCCCCACCGCCCAAAAAAAACAAGGCCTCCTCATTGGGCTAGCAAAATAGGCTTTCTGAGCAGGTATCTCATATTCAGTGCATTTACTGGTCCATGCTATACCAGTCACAGGTTTGTGGGTACAAAGCCACCCCCAAGCCACCTAGGCTCAGCATTCCTATCCTCCTCTTCTAATCCCTTTCTCTGAGACCCATGGGAGCCCAAACCGTTCCCTTCTCCTCCTGTGCACAGATAAGTCTGTCTTTTCCCTGTCCCTTAGCCCCACCTGGGCTCCTGACATCTTTGTTGGCTTATGCTACACTTGAATTTGTAACAAAAATAGCAGATGCCTTTAGGGGCAGTCAAGTAACGAAATGGACCCAGAAGGGATTGTGTAAATGGAGGAGCTTGTACCCCACCTGCCTGTGCAAGGCAGCCACAACTCCAGCAGCAAGGTGGGCCAGTGATGCCACAACCCCCCATTTTGCAGGAAAAATCAAATAATAGTACCACTTTTATTCTGCTCAAGCATACTCCCTCTTCACAGGAACGTACCCCTTAAAGTGACAATAATGGTTTACATTTAGTGGGCTTCGCATGTCTGGATTGAATCTAAACTCTTTAAAATAATCATCTCATTTAATCCTCACAATAAGCTCAAGAGGAAGGTGCTGTAATTATCCCAAGTTTGCAGATAAGTTAATGGTTTGTGTAGAGTCACACAGCCTGGACAGATGAAGGCAGGATTGGATCCCGGGAGTCTGGCTGTCGGCTGGCACTCTCAACTACTGCTCCCTTCTTCATTTGGGGTGGTGAATTGGTTTAAGCAAAAGCTACAGTCGCTCATGTTGCCCAGAATCAAGAGCAGGGTTTGGAAGGGAAAAATGGAGCCTCTGGAGGCCGAGTGATCTGAAACAGTCCTCCCCACGATCACATTCACGTCCGTAAGAAGAGATGGCAGTGCTCACTAATGTTGAGAGTTCCCTCGCCAGGCGGGCTCGGCCAGCCTTCGCTGAGACAGAATGGTGAACCATCCACCAGGCCTCTTCAAGCATCTACACGGTTGCCAACCCTACTCTGGGAAGGTGCCATTCGGAGGGCCAGGAGTTTGATTATGTGTCACTCTGGCTGCTATGGCCCCCTCCCAGGGTCTGGGCATCACACCCAGACCAGTGCCCCTGGACCTCAGCCCAAGCAGGAACTCCACTCCAGAATCCAAGAGCCCCGTGGAGGAAAGAAAATGAGTGCTTCATTTTCACAGAGAGCCAGCCAAGTTCTTCCAACAGATTCCAGGCTGATACCTCCACCCAGACTTGCAGCCCAGAAGGCAAAGTGAGCCCCTTCCTTCCTCCCTGTCCCCAGGACCAGCCTTCTATGAGGCCAGACCCCAGCCACAGGGGCCAGGAACCAGCCAGGGGTTGCTGCTGTGTCTCCATAGCACATCCTGGAAGGAAGGCAAGAGAACATAAGCTGGTGAACACCACAGATGATGCCAGCCCTTCCCGTGGTGGCTTTCCTCTAAGGAACTACTGTTGACAGTGAAGTGGTCAAAAATAGGCCATCAGAGGGAAAATAAGATGCCAGAGAGAAGAAAAACATCCTCGGGGAAAGCATCTAACATTTACGCAATGCCTGCCATATGCCAAGAACTTTACAACCATGTCTCCATGAGTCCTCACACCCATCCCACAACATAAATGTTATTAGTTTATTTTATTACCAAAGAAACTGAGGCTCAGAAACAGTAAGTTACGCAAGGTCACTTAGCTAGCTAAAGTGGCAAGAGCTGTAATTGTAAACTCATGACTAGCTCCAAAGCCTGGGTTCTTAAGCCTTGTGCTGTTCAATCTCCAGGTAACTGACACCTGGGGAAGTTATTTAACCAGTTGTTCATGCGAGTACAGTGACTGAATGCCTACTATGTGCTGTGTGTTGTTCTAGTGGCTTGGGATATACATCTGTGAACAACACTGGCAAAGGTCCCTGCCCTAGCAAGGCACAGCAGGCATTAAACAATGCCCAGAATAAGGAAAGTCTGTTGCATGTTAGAACATGATACGTGCTATGGACGGCTGGAGAATAGTAGCATCAGGGCCATTTGGGAGAGCAGGATGGAGGCAGAATGCCATTTCTAATAGGGTGGGTGAGGGTGGGCCTCCCTGAGAAAGAGGCATTGAGCAAAGACTTAAAGTAGGTAAGATGTCTTTGAACTTCAATTTTCTCATCTGCAAGATGGGGACAGTACCTCAGAGAGTTATTATATTAGACTTGACATGGTGCCTGGCACAGAGAAAGCCCCCAACAAATTAGAGCATTATTATTATTAAATAGCCATGTTTAGGATGGAGCCCTGGGCCCATTCAGTGCCAAAGCTCCTGTGCTTCCTGGTGCACCCTGCTGCCACCCAGGACACCTGCAGTGGGAGACGTGGGGAGGACAGGGGCCACCTCCAAGGAACTGACAGACTCAACAGAAAAAGACGGCAAATGGCCATAAGAGGCAGAGCCACCCTTCCTGGGGCCTGGGCTGTGCTGTGTTCAGCAGAATCTCACATAGTGCCATTCCCAGAGAGAACAGTCATAAAACAAGGTGAACTGAGCCGGGCAGGCATGGCATGGACTGGGCCTCACACAGTAGAGGTCACCGGGAGCTAGTGAGCTGGCCTGGGAATTTGGCCCTCAACAATCTCAGAATCCTAGAGCTTTAAATCCAAGAACACCTGAGAAGTCATCTAGTCCTGTCCCACCCTTTTCAGACATGGAAACCAAGGCCCAAAAAGGAGCTGCAGCTTTCCCAAGGCATCTGTGCCCTGCGTCTGGTCCTTTTTCCTGCTCGGGCTGTTTCTCAGAAGAGCTCAGCTACCAGACTGCTCCCAGCACTGTTCTCCAGAAAGCTCCAAGTGTTCCAGAAGCACAAGTGTATGAACAAGTTCAGGAATAAGAGAGGCAGGGCTTGTCCTTCCCACTTTGCTGACATGGAAACTGAGTCAGGATACGTGCCCACCAAGAACCACACTTGGACCTTGGAACACCGCTGAGATTAAACACAGATCTGAATGGAAGTCCTGAGTGCAGAGAGGAGCCTGCTCAGCTGTGAGGAGGGAGGCGGGGTCAGGAGAAGGGTATGGCAGATGGAGAATCTGTATCACCCCTTCCCAGAACCTCACGCCCTCTGCCTGCCTGCCAAAAGGAAAGCAGTCTGGGGCCAGAATAATTCCCCTAAAGGTAGCTGCTTCTCCTTCATGGCCAGCCCCAGAGTAGCCAGGAAAGATCTCACCCCTCAGAGTCGTTTAATACACTCTCCACCCAAATCTAAGGACTGACTTCCCTCCTTCCACCCCAGACCTGGCTGCAGAGCTCATGGAACAGAAGCAAAGCACATCCTCATTCCCCAATTGCTTGTAGAGACCATGGCAGAGGGACAAGTTTAGGCCAAAGAAAGAATGTGAGCCAAACATACACCCTCTCTGCAGTTCAGATCCCCAGACTCAAGGTTTAGAGCCCTGGAAGGCTGAGGCATAGGAAAGAGAGGGAAAAGGAAACCAGGGGCTGCCCTCAGGGCACACAGCCATCGGAAAGTCTCAGTGCTTCTCCCACTGCAAAGGTGTCTCACATGTGCCAAAATGTCATGTTCTTTCTTAGAGCTGTGCACAAATCCTATGGCCCTCCTCTCTCCCTTCCTTTTATCTGTCTTTAAAATTTTCTCTGCACCCTGA